AGTGACGCAAGCGAGTTTAACCCGGGTCGGTTCTCGGAGGGGGTGGGCCGAGCCGGAAACCATCCGGCCGGGTTAATTCCTTTTGGGCTGGGCGTACGGACCTGCATCGGCCAAAACTTGGCTCTTTTGCAGGCAAAATTGACAATGGCAATCATACTTCAACGGTTCACATTTCGATTGGCGCCCACTTATCAACACGCACCAACGGTCCTGATGCTTCTTTATCCACAATATGGGGCTCCCATTATTTTCCAAAAAATACCCTAATTCATTCCCTAATCAAGGATCCATCATCTTTCTTTCCTACACTAACCCACATTGCGAGTTTTTTTTTTCTTTTGTGTCGACCCAATCAAGAATGGCTAACATATGATATAGGTAGTTTCTCTATGATTTAAAATGTCTATGTATCGCCAATATGAGTATAGTTTAGCGATAAAGACATGTAACTTCTTCTCTTGAAATCAAAGATTCTGAATTTCCACACTTTATATTCATTGTACGGATAAAATTAGTTGTTTATATATTTATTATGGAATAGTTAAGGGGTGTGGAAGAAGATGATTGTATAATCAAACAAGTTTCTTTTTGGTTTTATATTTCTGTTCACTGCAATTTGCAAAAAAATTAAGATGATAAATTAAAAAAGAATGATGGAATCCAGTTAAGATTGTGAGAGACCCTATGGAAAAGAAAAATAAAGATGTGGGAATTTGCATTGGAAAATCCAAAAGAAGAATGAGAACTTTTTTTTTTCAAAAAGACAGAGATTTTGCAAGAGGAAAAAAACAAACAAAAAGGAGCAATTTCCTCCATGACTGCGCTCCCTTTGTCACCTTACCAGCCTGCATCCTCCATGGGAAAGGGAAACCTTCATTTCCCCTTCAATTCTTCCAAGAAAAAACTACCACACATTTTAATTTCAACTTTCACGATTTCATGGGAAAATTGTTGTTAATTTAATTAATTAATTAATCTCCAATCTCAATAAAGGAATTTAAATTAAAACTTTTGCTTTAATCATTTTGCATTTCCCATAATTAAACTCTTAGAAGAGGGTCATATTGGTCCCCATTCACCATGTGCTTCATCTACAAATGGAAGATACATCTCCAATTTTATTTCCATCTTTATTCTCAACAAAAGTTACATGTCATTGAAAATAGCTCATATGATATCTTACTAGCTTTTTGTTACTATATATTATTAACTCAATAATATAGACTCTTCAAATTGTCACTTAAGATTTGTTTGATTGGTGATAAAAATAAAAATTTAAGAAAAGATGTGAGTATCTCCACAATGATATGATATTGTCCACTTTGGACATAGTCCTCATGTATGTTTAGTTATAATAATATATTTTGTAGTTATCAACTAAATATTTAAAATATTATTAATTTATTTATTAACATACATATAACATAAATTTTGTATAATTATTATTTTAAAATATTATATAATTTATAATATATCATGTTTTACCTGAGTTTATAACACAAAATTAATATAGTTATCCATGTTTTTATATTTTTGAAAATTTTAATTTTATATTTTAAAATTTCAAATTTCAAATCGAAAAACATAAAAATGTTGTTTTTTCGCATCACGAAATTCATATCCCATGTATCAAACAGACCTATATTTATTTGAGTTCCTAGTAGGTTTTGATTAATCAAACTTTTTTTTGGGTTAAATGAATTAAATAACACAGCATGCTTCCAAGCAAGTGGTGGGAAGTCATAATTGCCTCGTGTCTCTAATCTCCAATCCCCAAATCTCCTTTCAATGCACTAATTACATGCTCCTCTCATTAATTAATCCACAATTAACAAGTGATTAATTTAGTGCTAATATGAGAGAACCGTCTTCTGTTCTATTGAGAAAAAACTTAAAAAAAAAAAACACCAAACTTTACACTTCTCGAGACATCTCAACTTTTTTTCACGAGAGAAAAAGAAAAAGGTAAAAGAGGGAATTGCCTTCTTTAATATAACCTCATATTTTACGACAATACAATACAATACTTCCTTGCTAATTGAACGGTCGGAACTCAAACTTTTAACACGTATTTAAAAGCGGAGTTTCGTGCTATCCAATCAGCAAGGCAAATAGGCAGGCATTGTTCATGATTTTGAGCAAGAAGTTTTCGGTTTTGAATGAGCAAAATGAGATAGAAATGGTAAGAAATTGAATCAGGGAGATGCCCCTCCCTTCCCAGTTGACAGGAAACCATTTTCATGTGTACTATTACATATGATATGTCCTTATCTCTCCACCATGCCATGATTGTGTGTGTACAGACACAAAGAAACAGAGAGAGAGAAGGATTTGTAACATTAAAATTAATTGGAAAAAGGATCCCTTGGGAATATCAACCATTAATCCCTAATCAATAGAGTAATGGCTTATGTTTCCCAAAATTGGCTCATATGCCAAAGCAAAAGAGGTGGCTAATGGGCTGCCTCTGCCTCTGCCTCTGTCTCTGAAGAAAGGGGTTTGATCCACCACCATATCTCAGTGGTGCTGCAGTTACTTACATTACAGGCAGAGGCAGCTCAGGCTCAGGCTCAGGCTCAGCTGATACCTTTTTATTTTTAACTGCCATATGATTGATTACTACTTGTATATATATATATATATTTATGCACAACACTTTAATTGGCGCTCTGCAATCTGCCACATGTACTTTCTATTTTGCTGCTTTATGATGAGATAAAGGTGACAACAACAACAACAACAAACAAGAATCTATAACTGTTACTAAAATACAAGCACATCCCTTGGCATGGCACAGAGAGAGAGAGAGGGAGAGAGATGCCAATATGTGATGGGACTTCCTGACCACTTTTCATTGCTTCAAAGAATCAAATTATGGCCAAAATTAACCAAAAGATATAAACTTTGATCTCCTTGTGAATGCCCAATTAGGGGATTTGGTTGATTTGTGTGTATATGAAAAGGGGTTGTGTTGTTTCTTGTTGAAAGTTAGGAAATGAGGAGGAGGAGGGAGATTATGGGTTAATTGAGGAGATTAGAAGAGAAAGAGAGAGCTCTCTGTGTGGGTCTGAGAGAGAGAGGGGGCAGGATCACATGGGAATGCTAATCAGGAAGAGTTGCTAATGAGACAATAGCAGAGGATTTGGTGGAGCCCCATAAATGCTGTGGCCTTTCTTGTAGGCTTCATGCCCATCAACCCCTCTTTCTTAAGATCTTAAAGA